ACAGCCAGTTCACCTTCCAAGTAGTTAAGATAGTGTGGGGGCAGAACAGATACCCAACTTTTCTTATGATTTCCATGTTGGTGACCAAAATAAACTCAATTATGATTTGGAAGACAGAAGTAACATCTTTCAGATTTTGTGTTGCATATAAACCTTAATGTGCTCTTGAAAATCTGTTCAAAGATTTTATGTAATGGCTGTTTTTCAGCCCTTTAATTAATATTGAGAAGATTGTCCCTTTCTGTTTCATTATAGACTTCCTTTTAGTATAACTTCCAACAGGACTCAGGAAAAGTGCATTTGCTGCATGACAGCTGGCACTGTGGGATTTTTGATCAACTAATAGAATGCAGTTGGTGGGCAGAGAGCAAAAATAGCTGTGATTTCAACCAGATTTTCCTTTCATACCTATAAAATGACATATGGAGGTGACAATACAGAGAGAAGGGGCAAAAATGTAAGTATTTGAAACCATCAAAGAAATAAAGATAAACATGTAGAATTAGTCAGATGCAAGAAATATGCAGATGAATGTACCCAATTTGCCCCAAATGACCTGTGATTCATAGTTGTGCTAATTATCAGCCACTGCAAGTTCTATTATTTTGTGTGTTGTACTTGCTGGGTTTTTCAAAATCATTAAGTCTCTTCTGTTGTCACTAGCAACAGGAATTTCATTCTAGTTATATGATTATCTCTGTGCCCACAACTGTACCTTGACAGTATTACTAAAACAAGATTAGATTAGAAATTAACTCTCAGTGTTCCTGGCGTCATAATTGCTTAGTTCTAAAGAATAACATTTTATGGTCTGAAATCTAGTTTTGCAGCATTGTAACGATAATGATTTGGGGATGAAAGTCAGCATATGAACCACCTCGAACCACCTTGTTGTTAGCTATCTCAATCAGATGGTCCAAATTGCTGAAATTCTCTGTAATTGTAAGGATCAACCTTACAATTCAATGGAAATTCAATTTATTTCTTATTGTATCTTTCTGAATGCTATTGGCTTTGGTGCTGAATGCTATGCCCTTTGGATGTTATTAGGTATTAAATGTATTTGTTTTAATCATGGCTATAGAATGAGAATAGACAAGGTAGGACAGGGCATAAATGTTTTAAATGTACAGTAGAACATGGCTTTCTAGTTCTGTAGATCTCTGTCGTAACATTAGTGTTAACTATTTTGTTTTAATCCTTATCTTTGGTATAATTATTTCCTCTATTTTATTGCAAGAATTCCAGTTTTCAGTGGCAGCTGTTTTTCCAAAAAATATAGTACATTGAGCTGGGGAATGAATCTTCCAGACACCTGATCACCATTAAATGTTTACATTGCCAGCTTCCATTTATACACTCATTCTGTCTCTTTTGGACCCGTGTCAACTTCACTTCATAGAATCATAGAATCTCATCCAACCCCCTACAAGACAGGAAAAGCGCAATCAAAGTACCCCTCACAGCCTCTGTTTAAAAGTTTCCAAATAAGGGGCTTCCACCACACTCTGAGGCAGAGAGTTCCACTGCTGAACAGCTCTTACAGTCAGGAAGGTCTGCCTAATGTTCAGGTGGAATCTCCTTTCCAGTAATTTTGAACCCATTATCATCCTCCCTCTGGTTTCTTGGTCTCATCTTAATGGAAGGATGAAGGAGGAGACCAATATCAACCAGAAAGACTATGGCAGCTGTGAGCAAGAGGGTCTCTACTCCAAGGGAAGCTAAATATACTCTGTTACAGTCAGACATGTTAAATAAAATAGGGATTTTATGATGAGAAATGGTTTGTTTCAAACTGACCAAACCTGTAACTTGCAACTCATCTTCTTTGTCGTAGAAGTGAATTGAGCATGGGTTGCATATCTTTCCCATTGCTGTCAAATGCACATTTTCCTCTTGTGAATCTCATGTGCTTCTTCTTGCCTGTTGGGTTGTTTGCAGTGTGTGACTCTACCTCCTTTTCTCATACAGATATAAATCATGAAGAGCTTTTTTTTTTTTTGTATTGCACACACTTTATTATGTGTCAGGAGTGACTTGAGAAACTGCAAGTCATTTCTGGTGTGAGAGAATTGGCCATCTGCAAGGATATTGCCCAGGGATGTTTTGATGTTTTACCATCCTTGTGGGAGGCTTCTCTCATGGGGAGCTGGAGTTTACAGGGAGAGCTCATCAACATTCTCCTCAGATTCAAACCTCTGACCTGTTGGTCTTCAGTCCTCCCGGCACAAGGGTTTAACCCATTGCACCACTGGGTTTAAATGCATTCTGTTCATTTAACCCAGTGCACAGAGTTCATTCACATTGTGCACACATGTTGAATGCACAGAGTCTGGGAGTTTTTCCCAATACATGTGGTAGTACAGGTGGCCCTCAACATTTCCTGCTTCTTGGCAGGAGGTTGGACTGGATGGCCCACAAGGTCTCTTCCAACTCTATGATTCTATGATTTTATGATTTGTGGCCTTCACTTTTGCAGATTAGATTAGTCACATATTTGATTAATATGTTTCCCCTAGGAATCCATCATAAAGCTGTGCTGGGGGGCCTAGAAAGAACACTTCTCCAAGAATTTTTGTAAGTTCTCCATAATGCTTCTGTGACCAACGTCTAGCAAAATCTGTAGCACCTAGAGATGCCTAAAAAGATGTTCTCTCAGATAAAAATGAATGTTTTTAATGTGTAGTTTTTCCACTGTGGTCCTAATCCCAACAAACATGGAACATTAACTGTATTCACCTTCCTGTTCACATTCATGAAGGGACCGGGTTGTAGCGCAGCTGCTGCACCGGGTTGTTGCATTTGCTTGGAAGTCAGCTGCATTAAAATCACCTCTGACCGAGAGGTCATGAGTTCGAAGCCAGCCCAAGTCAGAGTGAGCTTCCATCATTTGTCTAGCTTGCTGTTGACCTTTGCAGCCTGAAAGACAGTTGCATCTGTCAAGTAGGAAATTTAGGTACTGCTTATGCGGGGAGGCTAATTTAACTAATTTACAACACCATAAAACTCTCCAGCAGCTTGCAAAGAATGAGGAAGTACTTCATTGTTGTCATAAGTGGATGGTGAAGCCACAGCTCCCTGGTGGCTGGAATTTTTTTTAAAAAGCATACCCTCATGAAAGCTGGAAAGTTAAGTAGCCTCTGTGTCTCTGTCTAAATATGTTGTGTGTTTATGGCATTGAATGTTTGCCATATATGTGTGCTTTGTGATCCACCCCGAGTCCCCTGCAAGGTGAGAAGGGTGGAATATAGATACTGTAAATAAATAAATAATTTCACGCAGAATATTATTCCTTACCTTAAAACACGTAACAACTTCAATAGGAAAAGCCAAAGCGATAACAGAAGCCAAGCACTGGAATAATGGAAGCTGCTCTTTAATTCTGAATAGCAGAATACTTTGGCAGTGTCATCCATTCAAATTTATCAGAATAAATAGGAAAACTTAGTGCGGTATATACTGCCAACATTTACAGGGAGTGAAACAGTGACCTTTGCAGCTTTTGATGGAGAACCTTTAATATCGCTGGTTTGGGAAATAGACTTGGGTGTATATCATATGAAATTCTCCCTCAGCCCTCCTATAAATTTAATGAGAAAGTTCTGCTATAGTGAACTCTTGTGGTCTTTGAGCAAACAACAACAATCAATCTGTGCCTTGTGATACTGTATCTATGTGAGCTGGGCAATTACAGTTTTAGTGAAAAGGTTATATGGCATGGGGTTTTATTAGAATTCTAGTAGCCTTTCGGGAGATAACCAACTAGGAAAATGAATTCATAAATATATCACTTGGAACTGAAATATATTTTCCTTGTTTTCTGTGCTATACCTATGAAAAACAGGTACACTGAATACAGACTGTAGCTACAGAATTGATTTGACAGGGTGATGGACCTTGACATTTAGCTTGGAAAAGTATTTCTAAATTATTAAAACATGTGTTGGCTGCCCCACAGTTGGAGATGTTCCAGCCTTCATGGTTGAATTTCTTTTCTAAAATGTGATGCATTTTCCCATTTAGACTGGCTTTTGGTAAGGAAGGTTAATGTCAGTATGATATTACTCCTTTTTGAGTGCTCTTAATTCTCTCCCAATGGGGCTCTTGAGGATTTTGTTTTAAATGTTGCTACTCATCACCTATCATGAAGTTCTTTGAATGAAAGGGATGAGGAATTTTAGATTCAGTTATGACAACTGGCTCCAGGAGAAACAATTGCTGTTAAAATCCCGTTTAATATCTAAATGCACAACTGGGTCCCACCTCCCACCCCCAAGACACACACCTGTTATATATAAACAAATACAATATTACAAATTTGATATGAAGTGCAAGTTGTAGTTTGTTTTGGTTTATTTTGCTGTAACATGTTGTCCAGGCTTGGCCCCATGTAAGCCGCTCTGAATCCTCATTTGGGAGATGGTGGCAGGGTATAAATAAAGATTATTATTAAATATGCACCTTAATATTTAAATGCTAATGTTAATGAAAGTGGAATTAATACTGCAAATTTAAAAACCAAAGTACCTTAAAGAATCATAAATTAACTTCTTGCTCAAAACTCCACCATATAAACATGAAAAGGATTATTTGAACAAGAAATATACTCTTACTGTTATTTCTGCTCGAGCCAATATGGTAACTTACATATGTTTTGTTTTCTTATTTATTTATTTACCGTATCTCCATCCCACCCTATCTCACCCCAAAGGGGGACTCGGAGCAGCTTACAGCTTGGTACAATTCGATGCCACATCAAAACATAAAAATAGCAAATTATAAATACATTGAACATTAAACATTACACATAAAAAAATCACATATAAATACAATTAAAACAGGTTTTAAAACAGCAATTAAAACAACCACAAAGTATGCAATCAGATTTCAAGAGCCATTCCAGTTACAGTCACATTGATTTCCAGCTGTATATTGCATTGTAGCTAGTCTCCAGACGACTGGTTCAAAAGCCAGAATTTTACTTGTTTTCTACATGTCAGGAGGGAGCAGGCTGATCTCACATCACTAGGAAGGGAGTTCCACAGTCGGAGGCCACCATCGAGAAGGCACTGTCTCTCATCTCCACCAGCCACACTGTGGAGGAGCTGGGACTGAGAGCCGGACCTACAAAGAAGATCTTAACAACCATCCTGGTTCATAGGAGGAGATGGGTTTGGACAGGTAAGCTGGGCTGGAACCATTCAGGGCTTTATAGGCTAAAGCTAGCACTTTGAATTGTGCTCGGTAGCAAATTGGCAGTCAGTGGAGCTGACATAACAGGGGGATTATGTACTCCCTGTACACCACTCCAGTTACCAGTCTGGCTGCTGCCCGTTGTACTACTTGAAGGTTCTGGACAGTCTTCAAAGGCAACCCCAAGTAGAGTGTGTTGCAGTAGTCTATATGAGCATGGACCACTGTGGCTAAGTCTGGCTTCACAAAATACGGGTTTTAATATGAAAAACAGAAGCTGCGATCTCATTATGATTTCATTATTGATTTCTAGAGTGATTACGCACCCTTCTATTAGATGGAGTCAACATTTTGTACGAACAGAAAAGTTTGGGATGGGAAAGGGAGATTTTAGCATGCTTATTTATTTATAAGCAATCTGAACATGACAAATTCTCCCAATTATTGAGCACATCAAATCATTTCTGTTGGATCTTTTCAGATCTTTTAAAGCTGTTAGAAAATATAATAACCCTTTCCTACTCTTTTCTATGCGCACAACAAACAGAGCAAAATTGATTAGCATACTGGAGGAGTTTGGGGGAATGATTCAACCTGATGGAAGTTGTAGTTCACCCTGCATCAAGACAGAGTACTGTGACCCCCACCAACAATGGACCTGGACCACAGTTCGTACAGAGAACCCCCATGACCAACAAAAAATACTGGAAAGGTTTTGGGGAAATTGAACTTTATTAATAGGAGTTGTAGATGGATCTGTACCAAACTTGGCATGCATACCCGATATGCCCAAATTGATTTGGCAGAGTTGTAGTTTACTTACATCCAGAGAGCACTGTGATCCCAAATGACAATGCATACATGCCTGATATGCCCAAATTCACACTGGAAGAGTTTAGTAGGGATTTATTTAAATTTTTGGAGTTGTAGTTCACCTACAACCAGAGAAACTGTGAACCCAACCATGATTGACTTGAATCACCATGACCAACTTAAAATATTGTAGGGGTTTGGGGGAACTGACCTTCTTTTCTGGAAGTTGTAGTTCAATAACATCCAGAGACTGTGACCACCACCAATGACAGATCTGGACCAAACTTGGCACACAGAACCCTCATGACCAACTGAACCTACTGTAGGGATTTTAGGGGACTGACCCACCATGGTGGGAGCTATAGTTTATCCTGCAGCCAGATACTACACTGAATTCCACCAACGATGCATCTTCAGCCAACTTGCCCAACATGACAAACTGTAACTACTGATGGAGTTTCAGGGAATTAACCCTGATGTGAGTTGTAGTTCACCCATAAGCTTATTCATTTTATAAAATTAAAAACATGACTTTTTCAAATAACCCAGGCAATGCCGAGTACCCAAGTTAGCTTCTTAATAAATCTGAAACTTCTTAACTTGTACTCACATCCTTTTCCTTAGTTTTGATTTTGTTCAGTTCTGTTTGTCCTAATTTTTGTAAGCATTTAGTTTTTTTGGCCCTGGACATATATGGTTAACCTTTCTTGTTATGGTTATTATCCATATCAAAGGCTGTCAAAATAATCTTCAGGAAATTATCTCATTTTCTACTATATGTGCTTGTGATGGATCATATCTGCCTATATCAGTACTCATTTTATTCATGTGTTTCAAGCTGTTTCTGCCTAGAAAGAACTATTGGTTCAACCTCTGACAAAGGTTGATTTTCTGCTTGTCACCAGTGAGAGATTGATAATGGGAAAAGATGGCCTCTTTTTCTTTCAGTAGTTGCAAACATACAGAAAATACTGAAACCACACACATGGAGGTTGTTTAGTTTTTGCTGAATGTTGCTTTTTGGGGCCCTTGTCCTGATTATAAATTGTTTATACAAAAGAAATGTTTTTGCTTAAACGTTGCTACAACTAGGTTGGACCTAAAGGATCACGGGGAAGTGAAAATATCTACAGGTGTTATTTTCTTAGACTTCACAAAGGGAATTCAACATGTTCTCATTGTTCTGTTTGTTGATGCTCTTTTATATGATTTTATATTTCTAGTGCACTGATCGGCAAAACAGTTTTATTATGAGCAGTAAAATATTGATTGAGTTAACATTTTTTGAGCAGAAAACCTGCCCTGAGTTAGACCATTGTTTCTTATTACTTGATGTTGTCTCTGCTGATTGGAAGCATAGACATGATTTTAAACAGGAAACTTGAGGTTGGCTTCAGGGCATGTGCTCCATTTCTGACCTATGGCCTTTACCCTCTTCCCACAGTGATGGAGAAAAAAACCTTTACATCCATGCACATAACTGACAATAGAAAGTGGATTATACTGTGTGCCTTAGAAGTGTAATGTAGACATTTGAAATTGTAAATACTTTAGCCGATAACGGGGCCCCCGGTGGAACAGCAGGTTGAGCTGACAGTTTGAATCTGGAGAGTGGGGGTGAGCTCCTACTATTAGCCCTAGCTTCTGCCAACCTAGCAGTTGGAAAACATGCAAATGTTAATAGATCAATAGGTACCACTCCAGTGGGAAGGTAACGGCACTCCATGCAGTCATGACCTTGGAGGCATCTACGGACAACGTGGCGCTATGGCTTAGAAATGGAGATGAGCACCACCCCAAGAGTCAGACACAACTAGACTTAATGTCAAGGGGAAACCCTATCCAATAACATGCCAAATGAGTATTAAACAAGACAATCCTTTCTACCTTCTTCCAAGTAGAATGAACTTTGCAATGTCTGGCAGGTGCAATCTTTTAATGGTACCCTTTTCCTTTTCTGTGGTTTCAATTTGGGAAGCTGTGTCCCATACATTAGGAAATATGTCTTCAAGTTGGATGTACTAGGCAGCCAGGTATGGTTGCTTAATGTAATATCGTTTAGATCATATTTTATGATGATCTTTTAACCCCTAAAAATCATAAAATTGGTTAAAACTTCAGGAAATAAAGCCGACTGCTCATTGGAGGGAAGGATAGTAGAGGCAAAGATGAAGTACTTTGGCCAAATCATGAGAAGAAAGGAAAGCTTAGAGAATACAATGATGCTGGGGAAAATGGAAGGAAAAAGGAAGAGGAGCCGACCAAGGGCAAGATGGATGGATGGTATCCTTGAAGTGACTGGCTTGACTCTGAAGGAGCTGGGGGTGGTGATGGCCGACAGGGAGCTCTGGCATGGCATGGTCCATGAGGTCACGAAGAGTCAGAAGCGACTGTACAAATGAACAACAACAAAGTTTAAAATACTCCTAAAGGCTCTCTTGATTTGCTTATTTCATTTCTCTTGTTTTAGAATGTAAAGTTTCTTAGAACTTTAATAAAAAACCTTTCTTTGGTATGCACTTTTTATTAATCTATGTTCCTGACCTTAGGTCTGTTTAATACTGTTCATATGGTACTAAACAAGGAATATATTAATACATTGCCTTTGTTTATTAAGACTTTCAAGAGAGGAATAGCCTGTGAAAAGGTGGATTATCATGGAGAGCCAAAGAATAATGGTGAAACTAAAGGATTTACACATGGAGAGCTAATTGATAGTCCACTCCACAGTCACTGAAATGTAAACACAGCTACCAAAGAGTAATTGATACTTAATCCATAGCAATGTTTGTATATCTAATGAGGTGTGACATATTTCTTTATACTCAAGGGCAAATTGCATGTACATGCAAATGTCTTTAATAGAGCCTTTATGTCTTTTTAAAAAAGGTAGTTTCTGCAGTTCTGTGAGAAAAAATTAAATAGCAAAGTGGTAGTACTGATGACCGTGTAGCAGCAGACAGGGAGTGGGTTACATTTCCCATCACCTTTTTGAATGAATTACTTTTAACATGGGATGGAGGGTAGAACTTGGGCTTGTTTGCATTTGTTTACATGCATCTGCATTGTAATGTGTATTCATTTCATATTGTATAACAGTGTGGTACTTTTTTGTGTGACAGGAATGACTTGAGAAACTGCAAGTCGCTTCTAGTGCGAGAGAATTGGCCGTCTGCAAGGAAGCAATTCAACTCTGATGTTTTACTGTCCTGTGGGAGGCTTCTCGCATGCCCCCACATGAGAAGCTGGAGCTGACAGATGGGAGCTCACCCCACTCCCCAGATTTGAACTGTTGACCTTTCAGTCAGCAATTCAGCCAAAACAAGGGTTTAACCCATTGTGCCATTGGGGGCTCCACAGCGCGGGCCTAATATGACTATGTACTTGTTACTCTTTTGGATGATGAAAGATGTCATACACTTTCTAGTTTTCTTGTGCATGTTACATCATGGGAAAGCCATGGGAAAGCCAAGAAAAACTGGTTCATCCATAGGGATTCCATTTGTTTAGAAATAAATAGCTTTTTTCCTTCCACTTCCCCTCTTTGATCTCAGTTTACACCTAATTGCTGCGCATTGATTTTAAAGTGCAAAAGAGGTTTGCAGTCAGTTCTCTCAGCAGAGGAAAAGAAAGGAAAGACAAAGCTTTCCCTTTGTAGTCGGTTAGGCAAAAGCACACTGTTGCAGAATCTCTTAACTTGTGTAATTTTCCTTATTATTACTTTGGCCATCATTACCACARTCCAGTGTTGCTTGTGTTGGYGGATCTGGTACATTGAATTATGTCTTGGAGAGGAAATATCTAAGGTGTGATCATTTCTAGMGGAAAAATTTACCATGGTATCAAAAAAGTTCAAATGCATCATGAACATAAGAGTGCATAGGAGGATGTTATTTGCCTAAGAACATCCATATGGTATAGATCAGCATATCTCAACCTGGGGGGGGGGGGGGGTTTCACGAGGAAACACAGTATTTTCTGTTGGTCATGGGGATTCTGTGTGGGAAATTTGGCCCAGTTCTTTCGTTAGTGGGGTTCAGAATGCTCTTTGATTGTTGGTGAACTAGAAATCCCYGCAACTGGAACTCCCACATGTCAAGATCTATTTCCCCCAAACTCCACCAGTGTTCACATTTGGGCATGTTGAGTATTGTTTGAGTCCACAGTGCTCTCTG